TGATATTCAAAATTTTTAATTAATTGTTCAACTGAAAAATGATCAATGCTATCTTCTTTAATTTGTACTTGATAAGGCACTAATAATTCTAGGTTTTCATAACGTGCAGAACTCATTGTCTAAAGATACATACATACATATATACATACAAACATACATACGTTTTTATTTTAACTAATTTATTTTTCCAATATATATATATATATATTATATATATATATATATATATATATATATATATATATATATATATATATATATATATATATATATATATATATATATATATATATATATATACATATATATATATATATATATAGACTCTTGCAACGCTGTCAGAAAGTTTTCCAATATTTTGTTGACTTAAAAAAAATTTAAATGCAAGACCGGAATTTTTTTTTTTATTCTCTGATAGACTGCCTGCCCAAACCAAAGCCTCAGTCGATGTAGCAGCACTCCTTTGCAAGTCAGGCTATTTGTCAATCGATGTAGCAGCACTCCGTTGCGAGTCAGGCTATTTGTCAGTTGATATAGCAGCACTCCCTTGCGAGTCAGGCTATTTGTCAGTCGATATAGCAGCACTCTGTTGCGAGTCAGGCTATAAGATAGTCGATGTAGCAACACTCGTGCATGATTTACAGTAAAAAAATTTAAAAAAAAAACATTTTATTTAAAAAATTAAAACAAAAAAATTGTTTATATTTTTAAAAACGTTCTAGTCAATTAAATTTGCATTTTTGCGGTTTTTTAAAAAAGTAATTAAATTAATGGTTTTAACTTTATGACAACACAGAAATGTTGGATGAATGTCAAAAGTAGTTAAAAGTGACATAATTAGTATGTAGCAACACTCGTGCATGATTTACAGTAAAAAAATTTAAAAAAAAAACATTTTATTTAAAAAATTAAAACAAAAAAATTGTTTATATTTTTAAAAACGTTCTAGTCAATTAAATTTGCATTTTTGCGGTTTTTTAAAAAAGTAATTAAATTAATGGTTTTAACTTTATGACAACACAGAAATGTTGGATGAATGTCAAAAGTAGTTAAAAGTGACATAATTAGTTGTTAAAAGAAACATTTTTTAACTTCCGTACTCTCAAAGCCAACAATTTATAGAAATATATATATATATATATATATATATATATATATATATATATATACTATATATATATATATATATATATATATATATATAGTATATATATATATATTAGGGTTGTTTGTTTTTTTTTATATGGAAAGAAATTTTTTTTTATTTGTAATCGCACAAATTCTTATTTAGTGAGGTCTGTTATAAAAAGTATATAGTTAAAGTTTTTTTGCAAACTGATTATGGGAAGTAGTCCCCCAAACCCTATATCGGAACCCTAAATTGACGAAAATTTGCCCAAAAACTTAATCTTGTAATTCTATTTTTATTTCATACAAAATAATGCCGTTAATTGATCCGAAAACAAATAGTATAAAGAACTATAATGTTACAACATCAATAGATCACAGAAGACTGGAAAGTACAAGCAAATTTAGATTTACTGCCTCAGCATTATTTACCGAAAATCGCACCTAAATGCATATTTTGAATTTCGTTATTGAAAAATGTATGGAAAATGGGGGGGGGCGGGGGGGAAGGGACATATAAGATTTAATTGTTTTATTATTTGAATTTAAGTACTTTATGTTTATTAAATTTCTATTATATTCTTTCTATTATGGTAAAAAAGTATAAAAAATATTACTTAAGAATGGCTGTTTCAGACAAAGCAACACGATCAAATAATTGGGTTGCTGGACATATTCTCTTAACAATAGATGGGCCAAGTCAGTTGGCACTAAGTGGCATTGCCCTATGTAAAGGTTTTTAAGAAATGATAATCAAAAAGTCAACTCTTTCAATATCCTGCAACACAGTTGCAGATGAAGTTATGATTTTCTGCATTAAGGCTAATATTCCATCTATAGCAAAGCCTCATGTAGTTGCTAAACGAAAGAGTATTCACAAGCAACATGTTCAAGTATCTAAGCACAGAAGTAGAAAATCAGCTACGCAACATAGCTATCAAGTAAAATTTGCTGCCAAGATGAATTGTTGTATCTGGCTAGGATATTGAGAAATTATTAGAGATCCCTGAGATACCTGCTGGTACTGGCGCTCTAATGGGACAAAAAGTAGTTAAGCTCATTCATGAATGGCCTGGCATTGAGAAGCATCTTGCAGGTCTTTGCTTTGACACAACTGCAAGTAATACAGGAAGTCATAATGGGGCAATAACTGTCATACAGAAGTCAATGAATCGAAGAGTTTTGTTTTTAGCCTGTTGACATCATATTCTTGAAATCTGTGCAAATGCAGTGTTTGATGCATTTTTTGTATCAAAATGATCAAACATTAAACTTTATGGGAGCTAAAAGAAAAATCAAAGTTTGAACCACTTGAAAGTCATAAAAGCGGAACTGGATGCCTTACAAAGTTTGAAAAAGAGTGGCTAGCATCTTGAAAATCCGATGTGGTGGAAAATTTTAAAAAATACTTAGATGAAACGCAACCACGTGATGAATATAAAGAATTCAGAAGGCTAGCTCTCCTCCTTTTGGGAGAAAATAATGATACAACAACTATTTGCATTCCTGGGGCTTACCATCGTGCAAGATTGATGGCATATGCGTATATGCGGGTATATGCAGTTTAAAAATTTTTGGTTTTCGTCATCAGTTAAATATCACAGAGAAAGAAATTGGGATTTTAAGAAGAATATTTCTCTTCATAACCACAAAATATGCATGCTTCTAGTTTTCAGCACCTCTCACAACAGAAGCACCAAAAAATGATCTCCTTTTAAAAGTAATCAGGAACTATTGTTAAGTTTTCTTTTTTTTTTCTTTTACTTCACCTCCTCAAGGCCGAGAAGGCCACTACAAACGAGGAGGCTACTTATTTTGTGGCTATAACCCTCTCTCAACTCTATAACTCCGAAACACGAACCTTGACGAACAAGGCCGCTGCGCGGAGAAATGAGTTGACAGCATAGTTGCAAATGTTGCAAAAAATTAAAAGACGCTCAATGAATTTTTTGACTCTCTTAATCTACCAAAAGAATTCTTGAAATTGTCTCCTAAAACTTGGGCTAATCGTGATGACTACAAGTCTGCTTGTAAGATAGTTCGTGCCATGAAAGTGGTTAATGACTGTGCAGAATGGGCAGTTAAATTAGCCACTGACTTTAATGAAGTTTTGACAAAAAATAACATTCAACGTCAGCTTCTCTACGAAGTAGTTGAGTATCATAGAAAATATTTTTTAACTGAAGCTAATAACAATTTAATATATTCAAATATGCATATATATATATATATATATATATATATATATATATATATATATATATATATATATATATTATATTATATATATACATATAATAGAAACTAAATATATAGTTAAATACATTATAATAATAATATTAATATATGGCTATTGTTTTTCTGTTATATTTTAATTTAGTTAAAAGTCAAGGTTTGATTAAACTATGTATGTTATTTCATCTAAATAATTTTAAGATTTGTTATTTGTAATATATTTTCTTAAGCGCATAAGAAAATTTTAATTCTTTTAAAAGTTTTATTTGGATACAATATTTTTTGTTATTTTTAAATTTATAAGTTTCATTTATGGCTGAGGTAGAAATGGTTGGTAGGACACCATTTGGGGCATATGGGCTACTAGTACTCACAATTGAAAAAACTGAAGAAATATTTAAAAAAAGGATCTTTTTTTAATACTTTTAACAGTTTTTTATATATTTACCCCCCTTCCCCTTGCCCCAAGTTTCTCCCACTATAAACATTCATACACTTGTCATCACCATATTAAGTAAAACTGATGCATGTAACACTAGCAATAGTTTGTTTTAATAAATTTCAGAAGTTTATCATTTTCCGAAAAAACGGATCTCAAAAGGACTTAAGGAACAGGTCTGGGTCCTAGTGCCCTGAGGGAAGGGTGTGGGAATAGGTCACTACTGTATACATTAGTTTTATTGTTATCACCCTAATAAGTAAAACTGATGCATATAACACTGGCACAAGTTGATTTTAATAGATTTCAGAAATAGATTTAAGAAAAATATTATTTTAGACAAAAATGGGTCTCAAAAGAGCTTAAAAAACAGGTCCAGGACCTATCATTTTTAGAGTGGAGTCTGGGAATATGTCATTGCTATATATTTTCTTATAATTTTTATAACCTTAATAAGTAAAACTAATGCATGTAACACTGACACTAACTGATTTTAATACATTTTAGAAATATGTAATTTTAGACAAAAACAGGATTCTAAACGGGTTACAAAGCAGGTATGGGGGACCACTTCCCACCATTAGTTTGCAAAAAAAAATTATCTGTGAACTTTTTTTATTGAACCTCGCAAAATAAGAGGGTGTGAAATATTCAAAAAAAATAACAAAAAAAAAACCCTAATATATATATATATATATATATATATATATATATATATATATATATATATATATATATATATATATATATATATATAATATATATATATATATAAAATAAAACCATTCATAAAATTGTATTCAAACATAATCATAAAATACACAAATTTTTTTTATAATATTCTTATTAATTTATTTTATTTTTTTCTTTAAAACAATAATCAAAACTTGTTACTTTAAATAAAAGGGTTAGAAAAAAATTTGTTTTTTTGTTTTATAAACTTTCTAATCAAGTGTTTTTATAGGGTAGTATAAAAAAAATTATGTTTTCAACTATATGCAGTAGTGGTGCAATGATAGAGCGCTCGCTTTATAAGCAAGTGGTTCAGAGTTCGATCCCCACTACATCCCTGGTAATACTGCACTCAACTTGTTTGTCAGCAGCCTTGTTTGTCAAATATTGTGTTTCAGAGTTATAGAGTTGAGAGAGGGTTATAACCACAATTAAGTACCCTCCTCATCTGTAGTGGCCTTCTTGGCTTTGGGGAGGTGAATTAACATAAATAAATTTAAAAAATTAACTTTGGGAATAAAAAAAAAAAATTTATCAAAACACATTCGTTGTTGTTGTTGTTGTTTATAAAATTAATAAAACAAT